GGTGGGGATGGGGGTGGGGGTGGGGGCGGCGCCGGCTGCGGCTCTCGTTTTGACTGGCTACTATTCAGTGGCCTCGCTTCTCCCGGCTTGCGACTGCACTTTGTGTCACCTCCAGGGCTCTCAAACCTTGGCGCTGTGCACCCCTCTTGACCAGGTGACAGCCAACGTGCGGCTGGTGCGGCGGCTGGAGCGCAGCGCCCTGTTCTGCGGCTTAGTCAACCAGAAGGTCGGTCCGGTCCGCTGCCGCTTGGGCAACCTGCCCAACCTTCTTGCATGCATCACATCACTCCACACGGCACCAAGCCAGCTGTCTGGCTGACTGAGATGAGGGTGTGTCCTAAATCTGCAACGCGGCTGCGTGCTATGCACGTCTAGGTCAGCCCAGACATGCAGACTTGGCAGCTCCATCCTTAACAGCATCCTTGACTGCGCAGCGCCGCTTGTCCTCAGCACAGTTTTTCAAACCAAAGCGGTGACCGCCCTGCCGCACCGCCCCGCACTGCTCCCGCCCTGCACTTCTCAGCCGCCCTGCCCCCGCCCCGTCCCGCACCGCCCCGCCCGGCCCCCCTGCAGCGCAGGTCCTCCAACTCCGCGGCTTTGCCAGCGCCAACAAGGACCGCTGGGCGGTCGTCATGCCGCGCTTCCTGCCGCCAAAGCCGGGGCAGGCGGCGGGTGTGGTGCGCATGGTGCTCTGGGTCTATCGGGACGCGTACGGCACCGAGCCCCGCACAAAGGTGCGTGGGGGCCGGTGCGTCCTGCGCGGCCCGGGGGCCCAAACCCCGAGCACCCAGCAGATTACCGCGCCTTTTCCCCGCCCCGCTGCCGCTGTTGAACCCGTCTCTGCTTCAGCCCAGCGGCCGCTGCGGGGCGCAGCGTCGGGCGCGTGCACAGCCAGCGTGGCTCGCTAAAGCACTGCGCTGTTGGCAACCCCCCCCCGCCCGCCGCAGGTGTGGCTGGACGGCGCGAGCGCCTTCAAGCTGGGCCCTGAGGATGGTGTCGTGGTGAGTGGGTTGTGCGTGCTGTGCTGGTGATGGTTGGTGTGTACATAGGCTTAGAACGTCCACACGCATGTCCTGCACATTCCTCCAGCAGCATGCTTTGTGTATAGGTGCACCTGAGCACAAAAGCTAAACAGCTGTCATCGAGGCCCTGCACCGGCCTGCGCAATGAAATGTACGTACGAGCAGTTTCAGCGCACAAACTCACACCAAGGTTGCGCACCATGCTGACTGCTGCTCCTCCTCTGCCGCACACCCCTGCACCACCATCTACCCCCCGCCAGCGCCTCCACCCCAACCACGAGCAGCCCAAGAACGCCTCAACCAAGTACGACCGCGGCTGGCTGCTATTCTTCCGCCCCGCCGCCGCCGCCGCAAGCCCTGTAGACGCCAGGGAGTCTTTCAACCGCTTCGTTGACTGCTGCAACCGGCCGCTCGACTACCTCGCGGCCGCGACCGCGGCCGGCAGCGGGGGCGGGGGTGCAGGTGCCGGCCCGCCCGTGCAGCCGCAGCCAGCGCCGGCGCAGCAGCCGCATCAGCCGCAGCAGGCACAGCAGTATCCCCCCGTACCCGGCTGGGGAGGGCCTGCCGCCGGGTCGATGGGTTCGCCAGTGGCTGCAGCCGGCGCGGCAGGCGCAGCCGCCTACCCCAGTGTAAGCTTCTTTGACCCCAACAGCCCTCTCCTGCAGCAGCCCCCTGCCCCCACCGCGACACTCGGCCGCGTGCTGTCGCTGCGCCCCGCCGACACGCCGCCTGCGTCGGGCCTCGCGGCGCCGCCGTCGGTCCCCGGGACGCCGCTGGCGGCGGCGGGCAGCGCCGGCAGCCTCACTGGATTCGGGTCTGGCGGGTCCGGGACGCCGCAGCGGCGGCAGCAGCAGCAGCAGCAGCAGCAGCAGCAGCAGCCGCCCGAGTACGATCCCTTAGTGGCGCGTCCGGGAGAGACCGATATGGACTTTGCGCAGCGGCTGAGCCGCATGTATGGGAGCTTCAGCTCAGCGATTGCACCTATTGACAATGCCAATGGCGGGCAGCGGCCACCGCAGCAGCAGCAACAGCAGCAGCGACCGCAGCAGCAGCAGCAGCAGCAGCAGCAGCCGCAACGGCAGCAGCATACTGACGCGGCGCCCAGCGCGCCGCCCGTGAACGCCAACCCCTTCCTGGCGTCGTCTGCGGCGGTCCCCGTGACCGCCACCGCAGTGGCCGCGGCTGGGCCGTCCGCGCCGCCCGCAGCAGCTG